CGTGGAGCATTCTCGCATCGCTCCTGCCACGCTTTATCGCAGCGGGCGTCTGCTCGCGCAGTTTCTTGCCATCTTCGGCGCGTGGCTTCACAATGCGAGCTTCCCGCGATATATCCTAGTGCATGCCGTTCTGGACATTCAAGCTGAGCGCCCGCACTGGCTGCTCTCCTTTCGGAAGCCTGCGATGTGGCCAGGCAGTGGAAGCTCGCTGAACCTCCTGCGCTCCACCCGCCGTTGGCTGGCGCCCTCTTTCGGGCGATGGTTGGTGTCAGCTTGCTCTAGGTCCTGGCCGCTTATGGCAGCTTTGCTGCTGATGGGTTTCGCTATGTTCCTCCGCCCTGGCGAACTGCTGGTTGCCCGCCGCTGTGACCTCTCGCTACCTAGCACCTAGCAATAGTTTTGAGGCCAGCGGCGGTGCAATCCTTGCCATAAAGGGCGCCGAAGGACCGCCGTACCTATCCGACGCAGCACGCCCGCTGCTCCGACGGGTCGCCGGTGAGGCTCTTGGAACTGATGATCCAACACTCGTGTTCCACCGATCCGCGTGCGCCCTTCGGGCAGAGCGGCTTCCGCATTCGGTAGGACCATTCACTTTCGGCCACGGGCGCCCCGCTATCCAATGCGGCCTGCGGGCTGAACCTCACACCTGCCTGTTTGCGAGGTGCAGGGGCGACGGACTTCAGGTCCACGGAAGACCTCCCTCGCGTCTTCTGGCGTGGCCGCTGGCGCCAGGCCTCCAGCGCCGAGCTCCATCTCCAATCCGCCGTCGCCTCGTCCGTCGTGCCCGCCCTTCTGCGTCGGCTCGTGCGCGCGTTGTGCAGTCTGCTGTCGCTGGCGACCGCCTTGCCGCCTCCCTTCCTGCCGTGGGCCCTGCCGCATGGTCCGGTCTAATTTCGGCCGCCCGCCAAAGCCTTGTCACTGCGCAAGTGCTTTCAGCATGGGTACGGCTGCGCGTGTCCTTCGACACGCAGGTTTCGCCCGCCGCCTGAGCGGCGCCGCTCGGCCGTCGCGCGCGCCCGGGGGCTCGGGCCCTTTGAGCCCCCCCGCGCGCGCGCCGGCCGCGGCCTCCGCGCGAAGCCCGTTCGCAAGCGCGGTGCGGAATAGTGCTCTCTCTTGCTCTCGTCCCTCGCGCGCGTCTGGGTTTCGGTCGCTTCTCGGCCCCCTTCCCTCACTCTCCACCCTCTCCTCATCTGAGGTTAGCGTCGCACTGCACGTGTCCTTCGACACGCAGGGGCCGTTCGTCTCCTGGGCGGCGCCGCTCGGATCGAGCGCGCGCCCGGGAGCTCGTTCCAATTGAGCCCCCCGCGCGCGCCGGCCGCGGCCTCCGCTCGAACCCGCTCGCGAGCGCGTGGCGGGAGAATCCTTTTCTTCCTCCTCCTCCTCCTCCTCCTCCTCCTCCTCCGCCTGCGTTCCCTGGTCAGTCATTCATGTCTTCGTTATCCTCGATCCTCCTCCACGTTATCCTCTTGCTTCCGCTGCCTCCAGAGGCCATGCTGCTTCGAGCAACCAAGTGTAGGAGGGTGCGCACTGGCCACTTGGCCCCGTCTCTCTCTCTCTCTCTCTCTCTCTCTCTCTTTCTCTCTTTCTCTTTCTCTCTCTATCTCTGTCCATCTTTTTTTATCTATAGATGTATAGTTAGAGGCGGCCATCCTCCCATGCCATCTCCCTCGCCATCTCGCGCATCATCATGTACCCATCGTTATTTCTGCTCCTCCTCCCCTTCCGCCTTGGCCCCCTCCCCCTCGCTCGGCCCCCATTTATCCCATCCTCCTTTTCCTTGCCGCCTTTGCCCTCCTCCCCTCCCCGCTGTTGATTCTCAGCGTTCAGCGGAGGAAAGGAAGGGCCCTGGCGGGATCCTCAATTTGGATGGAGTCTTTTGCGCGCGGCCCCGTCTTTGGCAGCGTCAGCTAATTTACCCCAGCTGGCGCACGTCAATGCGCCTTTCACTGTATGTCTTAACCTTGGGTCCGAACGCCGAGTTTACAACATGATGGTGTTTGTAAGCGTTCCGGCGGGCTCGCAGCAAACGTCTTTTAACGTCGGGGCGGCTTCTATAAGAAAACGTGTGTGCGTGTGTGTGTGTGTGTGTGTGTGTGTGTTTTGGTGGACCGCTTGTGGTGGTCATCCGAAACTGTCGGGCCATCATCTGTCTCGTCAGCCTCCGATGGAAGTCAGGGAGCAAAAACGAACTCGTGAAAATCACGACTGGGGCTCTCGAGCGCACTTTTTTCTGCCACCTCTCGCGAACCGGACGGGTCCACCAGGGCCACGGGCCCCGCGAGCGGGGCACAAAGAAACGCCCGTCGTGAGTTTGCCCACGGGGCGCCCGCATCCGAGGGGGAGGCGCGTGCACACGCCCTCCGCGCCCTCGCCTTCGGCGCCCACGCCGGCTCTCACGACGCCGACGACAATGACGACGGCGCCGACGTTCAGGTCGACGCCAACGACGCCGCCGCCGCCGACGCCGACGACGACTGCCTCGGCAGCCCGTTGTGCATAGCGTGGGGCGCCCGGGCGGCCCCGAACCCATTGGGGGGCGTCAATTGCTCACCTCACCGATCCTGGCTGGGCCGCTCCTGGGCTCAGGATCGGTGTCGGTGCCCTCCCAGGCCGGGCCAAGGGGGCGTGTACACCGATCATGGGCCGTGCCGTTCTACAGCCATGCGTGCGCGATCGTGTTGTTGAACGGGTCTGCCGTCTTTTGAACATATGACCATTGAGCTTGTGGCAATTGAGGACCAGGGGTCCTGAGCGAAACAGGCCTTGGTGCTTAAATGAAGAAGCGCGCGAAGCTTCAGCGAATGAGCCTGCCTTCGGGAAGCAGCTCCTGGGGCTCCCAACGGCAGGGTCGGCCCAGCCAACACGGCCAACACGCTGACATGAGGACCAGCGCCCGTCGGGCGCTCGCGCGCGGCCTCCTCCTCCTCCTCCTCCTCCTCCTCCTCCTCCTCCTCCTCCTCCTCCCTCCTCCTCCTCCTCCTCCTCCTCCTCCTCCCTCCTCCTCCTCCTCCTCCCTCCTCCCTCCTCCTCCTCCTCCTCCTCCCTCCTCCTCCTCCTCCTCCTCCTCCTCCTCCTCCTCCTCCTCGAGTGGGAGGGGCCCTGGTTCTCGGGCCGACACTTTAGATCTAGGTCGAGGGACCCGTTCGTGGCCGAGGCCGGCCGTTGCCAGAGCACCCCCCGCCCTGCCAGCCCGAGGAGGGAATGGCACCTCTTCGGCTCTCGAGGGCGATGCGGCCGCCACCGTCTGGGGACCTGCGCCCGTCGGGTCTGTCCTGGGCCGTCTTCACCCAGTGCGTCAACAACATGTATATATATATATATATATAGATGCATAGGCATGCACACACAGATATATGTATATATACCGGTGCATATAAATACATATGTGTGTATGTGTGTGTATTTCTCCTCCTCCTCCTCCTCCTAATCCTCCTCCTCCTGCTCCTGCTCCTCCTCCATATATATATATATATATATACTAGTGTGGACCCGTGGATTAAATCCACGGAGTTGCGCGGATCGAAGTTTGGTTGCGAGTGCTGGGTTGTGCGACGCTGCCAGCTACTGCCGTAGATCCAGTGAAGCTAGTTCTGGTGCTGTTCCCCCACTGAGCGGCCCCAATGCACCGAAGCGGGGGCCGAAGTGTTCGAGCTTCGCAAGAGGCAAAAGTTCAAGAGACCAAGCCAGAGCAGCGTTGGAAGATACGCGTCGGGATCGCGGCGGACGCGGGAGCGGGTCGGGTCAAACGCGGCGCCGTCTCGGGCCGCGTCGGAAGCGTCGGAACGGCGTCGCGGCAAAATAGGGAGCGCAGACGGGCAGCGCCAGGGCCACGGGAGTGTAAAACATTGTTCTTTTGCGCCTGCGAAGGGCCTCTCGCCTCTCGTCCGCCCCTCTCTCTTGGAGGCAGTTTTGAAGCCTCTAGGGGGCCGTTTGGGAGCTCTATGGGGGCTTTGGGCCTCTTGGGGGCTCCTCGGGGCCCTCTTGGGCCGTGTATGGCGCCTCTTGGGCCGTCTTGGGGCCGTCTTGGGCCACCTTGGGCGCCACTTGGGCCGTCTTGGGGCCATCTTGGGCTCTCTTGGGCCCCTTTTGGGCACCTCTTGGGGTCCTCTTGGGCCGTCTTGGGCGCCCCTTGGGCCGTCCTGGGGCCGTCTGAGCCATCTTTGGGCCCTCTTGGGGGCCGTCTTGGGCAATCTTGGAGGCCTCTGGGGCTGTCTTGGACGCTTCGTAAAGGAAAATGTCGAATCTGTTGAACATGGGCATTTTACGAAGGGAATGTGGCCATTTTTGCTTGATGGAGCCCTCCTGGGGGAGCCCTCGGACCCCCCCGGAGCCGTCCGGGGGCGTCTTTGGGGCGTATGGGGCCGTCTGGAGAACATCTTGGGCCGCCTGAAAGCCGTCTTGGGTCGTCTCGGGGCCTCCGTAAGCCGTCCTGGGTTTTTCTGGGGAACTCCGACGCCGTTTCGGACCCCTCCGGGGGCCTTCCGGTGCCGTTTTGGAGCCCCCGGGGAGCCCGGGGATCCGGGGGTCCACGCAAACCCGCCAAGGCCAATTCGAATTTATTTGAATAGATATTGCGCCGCCGCAGTCGCATCCTTCTGATCCTTCGCGGTCGCCCTCTTTTGCCCCGCGCCCTCGACCAGTGCGCCCTGCTCCGCTCAGGCTACGGACGCGGTGCGCGTTCGCCACCGCTGCGACCAAGCGTGTCTTGTTGAAGGGGGTTCCGCACCCCCCTCCCCCAGGTGGCGGCGCGATGGCTGTATTATGGCGGCGAGCGGGGGGGGGGGGAAGCGAGAGGGAGAAGGCCTTCTCAGAAGGCGGCGGGGCTTCACGGGAGCCCTCCAGCCTTCTGAGAAGTTTTCTGCGTCTTCGGGGGAGGCTTGGTCGTCAGAAGGCCATGGGACTTCGAGCCTTCTGTGAAGGCCCGCCCCGTCTCGACTCCCCCCCCCAGGCTCGCCGCCGAGTATCGCTCGGGGAGGAGGAGTTGACGCCCCCCGAGCCCCATGGACCCGGCAGCGGGCTCGCCGAGGAGCGACGACGACGCGATCTTCGAGTATTGGGCAGGCCCGTGGCCCGTGGCGGCCTCCCTCCGGCCGCGGCAGGGCTCTCAGCAGGCCGGGTGGTAGGGCTGCGGGGGTGCGGGATGCGCATTGAGCCTCCCCCCCCCAGGCAGTTCTGGCTGGCCTCGACTCAGAGGAGGGAGAAGGTACCGATACCGCTGTCCCTGCTTCGGTTTGCCTTTTGGGGGCCTCCAGGGAGGCTCGCGTCGCCACGGCTGGATTCGCGTCGGAATTCGGGTCGGAACGCACCCTGGGAGAGGTCCAGGGAGTATCAGGAGGGGAAAAAACACACAGACACAATTAATCGGCGATTCCCAGAAAATATGGGAAAATATGGGAAGTGGGCGGGAAGACAAAAACCCGGAAAATATGTGAACATATGGGGGATATTTTTATTTGCGTGTATTCATTTGTGTGTCCCAGTTCCCCTTCAGAGTAGCGGAACTCGTGTCTTTTAGTATCCTCATCAGCGACCCTCCCGAGTTGTTCGGGGCCGTCGCCGGAGGCGCGCCGGGACCACCTGGTGGGCCTTGCCACACTCTCTGTGCTCAACCCGAAGCCTTACCAAAGCCAGGGCTTTGCCAGGTCTGGCAGAGGATCTGCACGCACGAAATGGGTACTGAAAGAATAAGTACAATGCCCAACAGCGGATCTTGTTCATTTTGAACAGGGCTCGCTGTCCACGCCGCCGCGGCCTGTGTCCATTCGAGACAGAAGGCCACCTGTCCAACAGCGGCCGCTGTTGGTTTGGGACAACATTTGTTGTTGGGCATTGTACCCATTCTTTCGGTACCCATTTCGGGTGTCCAAATTACCAAAGCCAGGGCTTTGCCAGGTCTGGCAGAGGAGAGCGAAGGATGGGCAGTGCTTCGGCCAGCGGCAGCAGTCGTCCCCGGGCGCGCCAGAGTGTCCCGGTCTATCATCGAGTCCCTGTCTGCAGGCCCTGGAAGGGGAGGGGGGAGAGGGTCGAGAAGAGCAGCGAGCACGGGCTTCTTGGCGCCGACCTTGGGCCCAGGGGTGCAGGGCGACATCGTCGAGACCAATGGGGCCGTTTGTCTTCAGATCCTGGCAGGTTCGCTTGCAGGGAGGGGGGACGGGGGAGGCGTGGCGAGGCTCGAAAGGAATTTCGGAGTTCACGCAAGGCGGGGCTCATTTGCACGTCTTTTCGGTCCAGCGATGCTTGAAAAGGAGGCGGGGTGGGGGGGAAATGCCATGCAGGCAAACTTGCCTGAGCCTCAAGGAAACCGCCCTCAAGATAATGAAGAGCACCAAGTGCTCATACATTCTCGTCCGTCAGCCTCCGCTTGTACCGCGCGCGGCGAAAGGAATGCACAATTACAGCTTCTACCCCGAGTCGGTATGCTAGACACTGCTCTCTCTCTCTAGCGGCGGCGTGGCCGAAGGTTCCTGCCAGCTGCTTGGCAGAACATCATACGTCCATCCGCTCTGTTGATCGCTTCCGTTCGTGGCAGTTATCGGATGTCCGCGCGGACTCGTTGGATCGGCGCTGGGCCCCCCTGCTGTCGCCTCCGGCGCCACCCCTGGCGCGCTCCGCGCGATAGAGAAAGGGGACGTCCACCGCCGACCCAAGGAGCTGGCCCATCCCTTCCTCGGGTTCGGCACCACTCCAGCCCCATCCCTCTGGCTCTCTCTCTCTCTCTCTCTCCGTGGAAGACGATCAATGGAGAGGTGTTGCCAATCATTCCCAGATGTCTAACATATGTTTCAAACATGGTCCAACACCATTAGAATATGACAAAGAAATTGTAGAACATGCTTCAACACTCGAGCATTTTGAATTCAATGATAGGGCTATTCGAGTGCCCATTGCCATAGCATCCACAACCCCGTCTGAGGCGTATCGCTCCAGGACGGGCCCCCCCTCCCCTTTGGGAGGGGTTGGCCTCTCCTCCTCGGCAGAGGGCGCCTGCGGAGGCCTGCGGAAGCACGTGGGGGGGTTGCGCCTCTTCGCGGGCGGAGGTCGGCAGAGGGCTGATCGGGGCTGGCGGAAGCGGAGCTAGACCACCCCAAGAGAGGAGCAGGAGGAGGAGGAGGAGAATGCCTGTGCCCTTGAGCTTCTGGAGTTGGTCGTGTGGTCCGCGTGACGCGGATTGCATACATATATGTATATATATATTTTGGCAGTGCAAGTGTAAACGCTGACTCTCGGCATGCGATTATGCATGCTCGAATTTAACGCGATTCGTCTCCTCCCTCATTTTCTGCCTCCTGCTGGCAGGCAATCCCACCGTGGAGATCTCCCATGGTCACATCTGCGTCGCCAGAGGCCACTCAAGCTCCTCGTGGCCCGGTGGCAGGGGACGGAGAGGGCTGCATGGAGGCATTGCCACATGATCTTCTGTCCGACCAATGGATGGCACAGTGCTTGAGGGTAGAAGAGCCATACATGCGTACTTTGGGAGTGATCTGTGGCCGATTTGGGGTGCATGGGTGCCGAACGACACGTACGCACAGGACGTCCAGCGGTAGGAACATCTAGTCTACGTGTATGGGAGATCTTCAAGCCCCCAATGTTGGAAGAGGTATGGTGGAAGTCCTGAGCAGGTAAGAGGTGCGGATACACGAAGCATGGTGGAACGATGCACGTTGTTGTCGAAACGGCGACGGCGAGGTATGGTACAGCAACGCGCAAGGCGGATGCAAATGAGGGAGCAGGTGGGAAGTGGAGAGGAACGGGGAATGATGTTGACTTATCGGGAAGACGGGGGGAGAAGGATACCGTCGTAATATTCCGAGCAGAGTTTTCATCTTATTGTGTTCGTGTGGGTGGGAGCAGGGCGGAAGCAGGGAGGTGAGTCTTGGAGGGTACGCCAGGGGACCAGAGGCCGATGACGACGAGGGTGATTCGAGAGGAAGCAGGCCAAGGCCGACAAACGAGATGAGGAGCTTGCATGGAAGGACGACGGGGTTCATACGGTGAGACGCAACGGAAGACGGAACTGTGGGGAGAGCAGATGACCGTCTGTCGTGTGGGAAGGGGGCGTGGAAGTTGAGCTGGGAGGGGTGAGGTTTGCTTCCCTCGGGCACCGCACAGCCTGATCATGACTACGATGGTCCGCCCTTCCTCCCTCCGATTTCCACCACGCCCGTGCTCCCAGATTCGGAACGTCTCTCGTCGCGTTGGCGTTTCACCGTCCTCCAACAATATGGAGGAAACACTTACAACAAACAAACATGATGCTCGACCCGGGACTCACTTGGCCATCCCCATCTCCGCTGCACTTGGGGAGGCCAGGGGTGAGCTTGCAGCTCGCTGTCTCCAGGAGGCTCCGGGAGAGCGGGGGAGATCGCCCCAACGCCGTGCCTTCGCCATGTCGCCGTGTGCATAAGTACCAAAGCTTCGTGAATTAGATGTATAAGTGTATATATATATATATAGATATGTGTATACATGCATGCATGCATGCAAGCATGTATGTATGTATGTACGTGGGTATGCATGTATGTATGCATGTACGTACGTACATACGCATGTATGTGTGTCTGTCTGTCTGTCTGTCTGTCTGTCTGTCTGTCTGTCTCTCTGTCTGTCTGTCTGTCTGTCTGTCTGTCTGCCTGTCTGTCTGTCTGCCTCTCTGTCTGTCTGTCTGTCTGTCTGTCTGTCTGTCTGTCTGTCTGTCTGTCTGTCTGTCTGTCTGTCTGTTTGTCGGTTTGTATGTATGTATGTATATATGTACGTATGTATGTATGTGGGTACGTACGCATGTACGTGTATGTGTATGTGTATGTGCATGTGCATGTGCATGTGTATGTGAATGTGTATGTGTATGTGAATGTGTATGTGTATGTGTATGTGTATGTGTATGTGTATATCTATGTGCCGAGTGAAGTTCCCGGCAGGGCGCGCGCGGGGCTCGCTGGTATTTCTTTGGCGCACCTTCTCGTGCTGCGAGAGGCCAGCTTGTGGCCGTGGCCCTTCGGGAGCGCTGCCCGCGCGTGTGCTCTCTCGCACAGCGCCCAGGGGAGGTTGGGCCCAGGAGGCCGCGCGCGCGCGCCCGTGGCTGGCGCAGAGGCTGGCTGCAGCAGCGGCGGAACACCCGCGGCATCGGAGGAGGAGGGATGGTGGGCGCGCGCGCCGGCGGTCGGCGCCGTGCGCCTGAGCCCCTCACGGCGCGTTGGCCGCGGTAGTTTGGTGCTTGTTGCGCTAAAGGGGCGGGTGGCAGTGACGCGCGGTCCGCTTCAGCGCAGCGCAGAGCGGGGACGAGGGTCAAAGGATGGGGAGAGGAGGAGGAGGGAGGAGGAGCAGAAGGAGGATGATCTGGATGCGGAGGAGGAGGAGCCGATAGAGGTCGAAGGGGAGGGCAGGAGCTGATGAGGATCATGCTGGGTTGTGCTGATCGTGGGGCCACGCAGGGTGCCTGGGGCAGCCTCAAAGTATTCGCTTGCAGCAGCACCGTGTCACATATAGGCTCCCGTGGTCGTGCGGCGCCCTGCCCACAAGCGCGACAGCCGACCTTTAGTCGTGGTTTTGCTTTGACTTCATGACAGAGCTGCTCAAACATATCCAGCCAGCGTGAGCACACCCACGGCAAACACACAACTCACGGCCGAATCACAAGCTGCTGCCCCAGCATCTGTGGCCTGAAGACGTTGTGCTGTCGAGCGCCTGCTTCGAATTCTTCGGATTCGATGGGCTTCGCACACGGTTCGTTCGCCGGGTGGGAGGGCGGGAGGGAGACGTCCGAGGCGAGGCGAAAGGGTGCGGCTCAGCTCTGGGGACGAGGACTCTTTCAGCTCGGAACTTCTGGGCCCGTCTTGGATCTTGCCTTCTACACCTATCTTAGGACAAGACGGTTCGACGGACCGAACGCTCAAACGCATCACACACTAGCTGATGTTTCTGCTTCTACGCTTGCTGCTGCTGGGAGGGGTGCGCATTGTGTATAGCCCCCGTATTGGCCCTATTGTCACCGAACTTGCTGCCCAGGAAGAGCCGGGGGGGGGATGATGAGGAGGAGAGGGGTGGAGGAAGAGGGCGCGGAGGACGAGGACAATATGGTAGGGGGATGATGGGAAGGAGGAGGAGGAGGAGGAGGAGGAGGAGATGGAGATGGAGGAGGAGGAGGAGGAGGAGGAGGAGGAGCAGCAGCAGCAACAGCAACAACATTAGCAGCAGCAGGGGGACGGTGGATCAGGAGGAGGAGGAGGAGGAGGAGGAGCACCGCCACCTGCAGAGCCTGCAAACCAATTAAACCATGCATCCCAAAACAACAAAACCTACCCCTCCTCCACGTCGTCAAAAGCGTCCGAGAGGCCCGCCCGCTTCCTCCTTTCAAGCACCCGCGCCCCTAGGCTCACGGCTTCGGAGAAGGAGGAGGAGAAGGTGGAGGAGGAGGAGGAGGAGGAGGAGGAGGTTTAATGTTTGACGAGGACGAGGAGTGGACCCCCGCGGCCGCCCGCCCGCCCTTCCCCAGGCCGCAGGTCCCCGGGCCAAGAGCAGAAGTTGCCCCGCGACGCCCTGGACGACCACGCGAGCGGCAGCTCCGCGGCCACGGTGGGCCCCGCCCTTCGCCCCCCAACGGGTCCAGGAGGGGAAGGGCTCCACGAGTCGGCGGCTCCCGCCAGGGGGTGGTGCGAGGGGACGGTCTTCTGAGAAGGCGGGGGTCTGTGCTGACTGTTCTGCACTATACACCGCCCGCATCGTTGTGCGCCATGCTGTTGACTGATTCTGGCTGGGGCTTCGCCATGAAGGCAACGGGTCGTGGAGGCAAGGAATCCTGGAGTTTTTGTCACCGTTTTCGGCCTCCTGCTGCCCAGTGGAGGTCCCTAGGGATCACCCGGCCGAACCCAGCATCAAGGACGAGTCTTCGAGGCAAGGCACCATTGGATTCTGGGCACCCTCTGCGTGCTTTACTGCTGCCCCGGCCCAGGAGCTCATCTCGGGCATCCTGGTGCGTTCTTGGTGCCTGCGTCGTTCTACGCCATCCCTGTGAACGATGTTGGTTTGGACTTCGCCGTGCCTGACCTCCAGATCCCTCCTCGGGCGCGCTCTGACCAGGAGTTCGGGACGAATCCGCCCGTGGCGACGACGCGCCCCAGGAGGCTCAAAATGCGGAGACCCGTCTGAAAGACCTCGGCCTTCGAGCCTCGGCCTTCGAGCCTCGGCCTTCGAGCCTCGGCCTTCGAGCCTCGGCCTTCGAGACCCGTCCGAAAGACCTCGGCCTTCGAGCCTCGGTCTTCGATCCTCCTCCCGGGGAAGAGATCACAGCAGGTTGCGGCGGGGTCCCATCTGCGCACGCGAAGGCCTCGAACTCTGTCCAAGAGCGCGCCGCTGGCAGAGGAAGCACGGGGCTCGTGATGTTCCAACCGACTTTTAGCCTTGATCGCCAGAAAGAATGTCGAGCACCAGGGAAGTGCCGAACTTAGGGGGTCTTCACGTGTCGGGCCCTGGGGGGCGATACTCGTTCGATAGTGTTTCGATGCTTTTCTGGATGCTCGAAATTCTTTTTGGGATGTGGTCCTTAAGTACGATGTGATCAACATAACGCGAGGTAGTAACATGTTTTACCCGCCGAAGGCAGCCCCGTGGCAACACGAGACGGACACAGAGCATCCCCGATCCGAGCGAGCCCCACCCGAGCACGCGAGGCGCGGCCGCGGCATGCAGCCATCACTCGTCGAAGACACGAGGCGGGATGCCCAGGGAGCACCGGCACACCTTGGGGCCTGCGAGGTATACACGGGGGACGAACGATGACACAAACAGATAAACTCTGAGGTCCGCGCGGATTTCTCGGACCGGCGCTGGACCCCCCCTCCCTGGCGCGCTCCGCGCGCCTGGGGCGGCGCCGGAGGCGCCGCCAGGGGGGTTCCAGCGCCGATCCGAGAAATCCGCGCGGACCTCAGAGTTTTTTATGTTTATGTCATTGTTCGTCCCCCTAGGTATGCACGCATGCAGGGTGTGCGAGGGCCGCGGGTGGTGTCCCCACCGGCAGCGCTCGCTGGCGACAGCAGCTGCGGCACAGGCCGCCACTCGGGCGCTCCGCTTGACGCTCGGTGCCCGCGGAGACGCGCACCGGAGAGCGCCCCAGACTTCCTGCTTGCCCGCTGGCTGCCCCCCCCGTCTCCTCCCCAGTGGTCGGGCGGCCCGGGACTGGGATGCAGTCAGCCCGCTTAGGAAGGACTTCCAAGGCTACCCTGAAGTCGGGAATGTCCTTGCACAGGAAGAAAATTCAAAAATAATAAAAATAGCCTTGGGACGATTTGTATAATGTGTGTTGACAATCTTTGAGCATTGTTTAACATTCTTTATTTTCCGTCCAAGGTTTGCCTGTAGGGGGACATGCCCGACCTAAGGCTACCCTGGCATCCTTGCCTCTTCGGCGCATCCTCAGCGACTTTCGCCGGCCAACCTCTTTCGAACAATTACGTCAGCATGGATTTCCACGGCCCGCGCACCCTCACTGCACATCCTTACTGCATGGGCCATGGGGTGACAGTAGATCGCACCGGTGCGTTCCAGAACGCTCCACGAGCGTTCCCGAGCGCTCCAGAAGGGCCGCGGCGCCCGATGCGCTCTCCAGAGCCGCCGGATCTCGAAGATCCCCGATTCGTCCAGGTCCGATGTTTTCTCGGTCCTGGCTTCGTCTTAGTTGTTGGCTACACGTAACAGTGACCCCTTGGCCAGAGTGAGTGCGGGATCACAGGGCCCCCCCCCCGAGCACTGCCCTGCGCGCTTGACTTTGACCTACCCGCGGCCTCCTGAGCCGCGTGCCAAAGGTCACTCTTGCATAGGGTCACTCTTTGCCATGTCGTCGAAGTTGGTGCGTCTCAGACCTGGTCTGTCGACGACGAGCTTTTTCATGACGTGGGCTCCTGGAGGTTTGGACCGGCGTTTCATTTTGACTCGTTGTTTTCTATTGTGCCGAGGCCCGGTAAGGGCCACTGGAGACAGACAACGTTCTAGGCCTCCCAGATGGGGTCGAAGTGGATGGGGTCGAAGGATCTCGCCAATTCGCCGATGCATCGCCGATGCATCGCCGATTTATCGGCGATGCGGCGCGATCCCCCGACCCCATCTATTCCGACCCCATCCCCAAGGCCCTTTAAAATGCAACAACTACCATTTCAAGAGTATTCACTCTCATCTGCTCGTTGTGCCATTCAATACCTCGATACGTTTGTGTAGTTATATATATATATATGTATGTATTTATATTTACATATATATCTATATATATCTACCGATCTATATATCTACCTGTCTATATATACCTATATGTCTGTCTATCTATATATATACATATATATATATATATATCTTCATGTATCCCAAATTCTCGAAACCCACCTTACCTGCCACGTTCAATTTGCGCAGCCCCTTCAACAGGAAGAGGAGGGAGACAGGAAACAAGAAATAATAAGCAGGAAATGACTGCGGGAACGAAGGGAGGAGGGAATGGGCAAGGGAGATGGAGAAGGATGGAGCACGAGCGGGATTGTTAGGAGGGTTGCTCGGAGCAGGAAAACAAGCGGCAGAGCCAGACGGGCAGGTCGGCCAGGCGGACCCTGACGGGCGGGTCGGGAGGGCGGACCCAGACGGGCGGGTCGTGCGGTCGCATCGCTGAAGCGTGAGCCCTGCATGAATTGCCAGGAAGCCTTTAGCGATAGTGCGATTCCCAAGTAAACCGTGAGCACGTGCAGAGCGAGAGCGTGATTCCTGAGTGTCGAGACGCGGCGCTTGAATCAATCGCGAGGAAGTCCCGCGCGAGAGCGCGATTCCTGGGTGAATGGCAAAGGGAGGACTAGCGAAGGCCAGATTGTTTAATATATTGTGAAGAGGTATTGGGCGGGAGCCGCTGTTGTCGTAAACCAGGGGGGCAGGGGCGCAGTTTGACGCGCAAGATTTTCCCATGTCAGAAACAGGGTGCTGGCCCAGGGAGGGGCGCCGCAGTTGAACAAGCACATCTGTTACCGGGGAGGGGGGGGACCAACACTGCCTATGTTGTAGAAGTGGGAGGTCGACAAACATCAGGCCCGTGATGGTTCTTCAAGACTCTTCACGGCGCCAGGGGGTCCAGGGAGGGGATGCGGCCGCCAGAGCTCCTCCGTGGTACTCGCCAGCGCGGTGCCGTGCTACATGTCCGCGTCCGAGTTTTGCGAGTTCGTGGGGGCCTTCAGCGAGGACTCCCACCGCTGGTTCAGGCGGGCGCGCGGCCGAGCTCGGCGGACGAGCAGCAGAAGAGAGGGAGGGAGGGAGGAGAGGGAGGGAGGAGAGGGAGGAGAGGGGGAGAGGGGGGAGGGAGTATGACCAGTGTAAACCCAAGAGTTACCAACGATGTTGGAATTAACCCTCCCTTCAGGCTCCCTCTTCACAGGCCCCTGCAACGGTTCATTTCCATTGAGGGAACTGCCTCGTTGGACGACAGCCGTTTGAAGATCCTGAAGCATGCCAAAACATTGTTCTCGGGATTTCAGCGCCACGGATCAACCTGACTGCTGCGCTTTGATGATCCAGGATCTCGCCATAACGCCATGTTTTTGATTTCAACACCGCGGCTCAACATACCTGTTGCGCCCGCGTAATCCTGAATCCGTCCAACACACCATTTTTGGTACGTTGATCATCGGAATCCGCGAATCTCTTCCACAGTTTGAAATGGAATGTGCGCGGTGCTAATGCGAGAGCCACATTTTGAAAAGGAACCGCCCTCAAACCGTGTATCTCTTGCAAACTGTTACAAATTGTGCGAGGAGGTCAGGCGAGAGCCACCTTTTGAAGCCGACCCGCCCTCAATCCGTGAAGTTTGTTTGCAAATGTTGAAAACGAATGTGCGCGGCGCTCAGGCGAGAGCCACATTTTGAAAACCGCCCGCCCTCAATCCGTGATGTTTTTTTTTTTTTTTTTTGAAAATTTTGAACGCGAAAATGCGCGGCGCTGAGGCGAGAGCCACATTTTGAACACCGCCCGCCCTCAATCCGTGAAGCCATTGCGAATCTTGAAAACGAATGTGCGCGGCGCTCAGGCGAGAGCCACATTTTGAAAACCGCCCGCCCTCAATCCGTGAGGTTTTTTCTCCAAATTTTGACAGCGAAAATGCGCGGCGCTCAGGCGAGAGCCACCTTTTGGAAACCACCCGCCCTCAATCCGTGACGTCATTGCAAACTTTGAAATCAAATGTGCGCGTTGCTCAGGCGAGAGCCACATTTTGAACACCGCCCGCCCTCAATCTGTGAAGTGTTGGTAAATTTTGACAGCGAAAATGAGCGGCGCTCAGGCGAGAGCCACATTTTGAAAACCACCCGCCCTCAATCCGTGAAGCTCTTGCACGTGTTTACGGATAGTGTGCGCGGCGCTCAGGCGAGAGCCACATTTTGAAAACGGCCCGCCTTCGATCCGTGAAGCTCTTTCACATGCTGAAATCGAATGCGAATGTGCGCGGCGCCCAGGCGGGAGCCACATTTAAAAACGGTTCGCCATCCATCTGTGAATCTGTTGCCATTTTGTGAAGCTTCAGGTCCACCAGTGGTGAGGAAGCAACAGGCGAAACGCCTGGCCCGCCCTAAAAACTAGCCTCGGGGTGCGAAAGGGAAGAGTTATATATAAAGGGGATAGAATGTACGCGGTTGGGGAGTATGAGTAGGAGTAGGTGTATGAGTAGGAGGAGCAGGAGGAGAAGGAGGAGGAAGAGGAGGAGGAGGAGGCGGGGGAGTTGGAGGAGGAGGGGGAGGACGAGGAGGAAGATGAGGAGGAGGAGGCGTTGGAGGAGGATGAGGAGGAGGAGGAGGAAGAGGAGGGGGAGGAGGAGGAGGAGGAGAAGGGACATGAGGAGGCGGAGGAGGAGGAGGAGGAGGAGGAGGAGGAGAAGGAGGAGGAGGGAGAGAAGAGGTTGGAAGAGGGGAGAGACGGGAAGATGAGGCGGAGGGATAATGATGATGATGCGGATGAGGATGAGGATGATGGTGATGATGTTGATGGTGATGTTGATGATGCTGATGCTGATGATGATGATGATGATGCTGATGGTGGTAATGATGATGACGATGTTGATCATGATGACGATGTTGCTGATGCTGATGCTGATGCTGATGAGGATGATGCAGTGATGATGATGGAGGTGGTGATGATGCTGATGATGATGACCATGAAGATGGATACGATGCATCTGAAAATAGTGATGCTGATGCTGATGATGACGGTGATGATGATAACGCTGATGATGCAATGCTGATGATGGAGATGGTGATGCTGATGATTTTGATGATGAGGAGGATGATGGTGATGACGATGATGATGCTGATGCTGCTGCTGCTGATGATGATGATGCTGATAATGCTGATGATGCAATGCTGATGATGGAGATGGTGATGCTGATGATTTTGATGATGAGGAGGATGATGGTGATGACGATGATGATGCTGATGCTGCTGCTGCTGATGATGATGATGAGGAGGAGGAGGAGGATGAGGATGATGATGATTATGCGGATGATGCTGCTGATGATGATGAGGATGATGAGGATGATGAGGATGATGACGATGATTCTGCTGATGATGATGATGATGATGATGATGATGATGATGATGATGATGAGGAGGAGGAGGAGGAGGAGGAGAAGGAGGAGGAGGAGGAGGATGAGGTTGAGGAGGAGAAGGAAGAGGAGGAGGAAGAGCATGAGCAGGCGGAGGAGGCGCATGAGGAGGAGGAGGAGGAAGAGGAGGAGGAGGAGGAGGAGGAGAAAGGAGGAGGCATAGGAGGAGGAGGAGGAGGGGAGGAGGAGGAGGAGGATGAGGAGGAGAAAGGAGGAGGCATAGGAGGAGGAGGAGGAGAAAGGAGGAGGAGGAGGAGGAGGAGAGGAGGAGGAGGAGGAGGAGGAGGAGGAGGAGGGGAGAGGAGGAGGAAAGAGGAGGAGGAGGAGGAGGAGGGGGGAGGAGAAGGGGAGGAGGAGGAGGAGGAGGAGGAGGAGGAGGAGGAGGAGGAGGAGGAGGATGCGGCGCCGAGGGCGTGTCCCGCGGAGCTGCCGCGTGCGCCGGGTGCCTCTCCTCGTCCTCATCCCGCGTGCGGCGGGCCTCTCTGGCGGCAGTGGTAACCGCACAGCCTGGAGGGCGTTTTACTCGTCGTCGTCGTCGTCGTCCTCCCCGAGGGCCGCCGCGCCCGCACCGCCGCGAATGCCGCCGCGCCGTGCCTCGCCGCGCCGGGCGGCGGTGCCGCCGCCGCCGAGCGCCTGGGCTCGCGGCGCGGGGCGCCCGGGCGCGTGTCGCTAGGGGTCTGAGGTGGCCCAGCAGTGGTTTCGGGTCCCCGGGAGCAAGAGAACCCCGAACCCCAATAGCACGATGAAGACGTGGGCGAGCTCAGGTCCCCGCTTTTTCGCACCAGGGATCCTGATTCTGGGCGGTCTGGTCTGGCACATCTGCAGAAAAGAGATCCTTTATCCCGCATCCCTAATGTTCCTGTCCCTCCTAACTTAGGTCCCCTGCCAAAGGGTTATGGGTCCTTGCATTGCTATTCATCAGCGAGCAAATGGGGGGTTCGAGTTTCTGGGTTCGAGGGGTTTTCTTTGTCATATTTGTCGGCCTCCGGGGGCCGTTTTCGGGCCCTGGGCCGTCAGTCAAAAGCGGATCTGGAGTGAACAATTGCACCAGATGGACCTGGGAAGGGTTCGGGGACCGATTTTGAGTGGAGTTGCCCTTCATCCCCTTTCTTGGCAGATTTTCTCGGAGCCTATCTAATTCAGACCCCCTGGCTGCCTCCAAGTTTTCCATTAGACGCGGGCAAGTTCGCTTGCACGAAGTTCCTGCTCCCCCCCTGGCCCCCCGCCGCCGCCTTCGGGCCGAAACGGCGTGCAAGTGAGTCCCGGCTTGCGCGAAGTCCAAAGTTCTGTTCGGGCCTCGCCACGCCCCCCTCCCTTCCCCCCTCCACGCAAGTAAATTTGCCAGAATCTAAGCAGACTCCCGCGCGTGGGAGGCGTCCGAGAAGCACTCTCTCCTATCGAGGCAGCGCAAGCCTGGAACAAGGCGCGTGGAGTGGCGACGGGTCCCGCCTCCATGCAGGATCGGCCCGCTGCGTCGCCAGATCAGGCGGCATGGGCCTCCTGTTCCGGGGGGTGCGCTCCCCAATCCGCGGATCTGGCGCCCACGCGCTAGATCCGCGGAGCCGTGATCCACGTGAGCGTGCGCCGAGCTGAACAGCTTTTTCCGGTCAGGGTGCTAAGTGTTGCTCACGACGCCCGGTGAGGTATGCGGGGCCCCCGAAAACGGGGGCCCGTTGCTCCCCATCGTTGCCACTCATCGGTGCCCCCCCCATCTGTGACCCCATCGGTTGCCTGTGTGAGACTGTGGCAGGGTCTTCTGCCGCAATGGTGCCAGCTTCTGTAGTTCATTAACGTTTATCGTGCCTCGTGGTTCTTTCCGGCAGCTGCGCCTCGTCGAAAGCGTTCCCCGGTGTCCCGGATCGTCCCGAAGGGCTGCTGGAGGCCTTGGCTATGATCCGAGCACCAGGCTTCGAGGGGGTGAGGACCAGGGAGTTGCGTGTCTGGTCGGCGTCGCGGCAATATCACGGCGGGCGTTTCTTGCCCGGTTTCGGGCATCCGACGCAGCAGCATGTCGGAGAGTGCTTGTTATTTCTGCCCCTTTTGGCCCTCGCACGGCTGGGTGCCCCCTCGAAGACGCGGCTGGGAGGCACTCCCCCAGGACAGGGCCAATGGCCGACTTTCGACTCAAGACTTCTCGGAAACTGGTCGGGGGCCTCGAGACGGGGGTCAATGCAAGCGGGGGTCAGCCAGAGCGCCGGATCTCGGAGGATGCAGCAGGGCCAGGGTCGCATTGACCCGGGTGGTGCAGGATCCTGCAGATCCTGCAAAGCCTGACTGAGCCGGGTGTGCGTTGACCCGGGTCAGCGAGTCTTAACTGGGACACTGCGCACCAGGACTATGAAAGTTTCAGTAGGGAAGCACACCTTTTCGTCGCGGCAAGGGCAGAGGCAGTCTGCACGTGCGCTCGAGTTGTCGGGAGCGTTCGGCAAACGATCTCTCTGGCAGCCAGGCGGGGGGGCGCTCGAGGAGGAGAAGCGGCCGCGGAGGACATGATGGCTAGGCTATAGGCCACTCGCGGCTGTCAGCTGGGAGGCGCAGACCGTGGCGCACACTTCGACCCCACGGCTGCAGGTCTCTTCGGTGCCCTCCGCGTCCTGAGCCTAACTGCCGCAGGGCCGCCCTCTTCGGCGCCCGTCGGCCGCCGCCGCCGCCGCCGCCGACGACGACGACCCAGGCGAAGACCTCTTCCAGGCCAGCCACAGCTGGGGGAGCTGTGGTCCTTACCCCTCTGGGGGACCCATCGATTTCGGCACCCCTCTCGAGAGATCGTCGATGCGATGGGTTTCCACAGGGGGGTAAGGACCACAGCTCCCCCAGTTGTGGCTGGTCGGCTCTTCGCAGCAGACAAACGCGGTGGCAGCCGGGTTGTCGCGGGTTCGGGCACCAGGGTCACTGCCGGGGGTGGATAGGCTCGGGGGGGGGGGCGCGTCGACCCCCCCGACCGTGGGGGGCGAAAAACAGTATTCAAAAGGGAAAGAAACACACAGACACAATGAATCGTCGATCCCCCAGAAAATATAGGAAAATCCGGGAAGTGGTGGGGAAGACAAAAACACAGAAAATATATGAAAATGACGGGAATATTTATATTTGTGTGCATTTATTTGTGTGTCCCAGGTCCCCTTCATAAACGTTTCCGCCGTCGGGGTCGCCTGCCCCCCGGGCGGCGACAAAACTCCGGTCCCGAGGGAGCGTTTGAGGAGCCAGGGGGGCCTTCCACAGTGGACGAAGAGCACAGCGTCGGAGGCCTGGGTTAGGGGCGAAGGTTGGCTCTGGAATCATGCAGGGAGGACCCCCCGCCCCGCCGTCCGCTCTCGGGGGGTGGCAGCGTTCCCGGCGGCGAGAGATTCGGGGTGTTTCTCACCTGGGTACTCCAGATTTCGTAATAAAGGGAGGGGGGTCTCATTTCGGGGGGGGTCTCTTCCAGGCTATCTTGGAGGGCCTGGGGGGTCTGGGGACGATGTTTTGGAGGGTTCTCCCACGGGGGAGGTCTGAAATGGCTTGTCTTGGAGGGTCCAGACCCCCTCCCTTTTATTACGAAATCTGGAGTAATTCTTGTGGCCCCCGCCTGGCATTCTTGTATGATTCGCGTGGTGTCGAGAGACGCGGCTCCGGCGACGTGGGGCCGCTCAAGCATGTACCATTCTTGGCCCCAGAGTTTGGCCTATCGTTTTTGGAGGTACTCTAACTCGAAGGGAGCAGGATTCCTACACGACGTGCTCGTATATCTCGAACCCCTCTCGGAGCGTGCTTGAGCCCTCTTGGAGCGGCCGCGAGGCCTCGCACATCGTCGGAGCCCTCCCGCACATTCGCACATGATCTGCTCGCATCCAGCCCTCCCCCTCCCCCTTCTCCTCCTCCTCCTCCTCCTCCCTCCTCCTCCTCCTCCTCCTCCTCCTCCTCCTCCTCCTCCTCCTCCTCCTCCTCCTCCTCCTCCTCCTCCTCTCGGCCACACGCAGAGATCAGGGAAGCGCAAGACTCGTGTTACGCCAGAACTCGGGCTTGCCGACGCTCTTTGACGAGCGCGTCCTGGATTTTGACGGTCCTGTTTTCGTGGGGTGTTTACAGCGGGAGCATTCGCGTCAAATGGAAGACTGGGCCTCGTCATCTTCATTGGTGTCCCAGTCAGGCCAACCCGAGCCCCCGAACCCCGGTCTTACGTCTCCCCGAGCAGGGCAGAGGGGGGCAGGGGAGGGGGGAAGACTTTTAGAAGCATCTCTGCTTCTTAGAAGGCGTGGGCCTTGCCCACAGGTGTAGGGCCGGCGCCTTCCAAGAAGCAGCCTCCTTCTAAGAAGCCTCCCCCCCTCCCCCTGCCCCCTTGTGAGCGCCGCCAGTCCTCATCCTCGTCTCACTCCACAATTTTTCAATATGACGACACATGTTCACCTCTTCCAGGATTCTGTCCGAGCGGGGTCCTTTCTCTCCGGAACATGTCTTCCCGCGTATCGGTCTCCAGACGTTGTTCGTTTTTTGTTTCGCAGTAGTGTTCCCCCTGCATCGTCGGCCTTTCTCGATGATCAACGCCTTGCTCCCGTCGTTCAGAACAGCGCTCTCGCCCCAGGTCCGGCCACATCTCTGGATCCCAAATCCTTCCCCTCGTCGTTGTCGCCCCGCTCGTTTCCCCTCCCGCGCCCTCCCCTGGTCCTCCTGCTCCTCCCGCTTTTCGTTCTCCTGCTCCTGCTGCTGCTGCTGTTCCTCGTATTCGTCCGTCCTCATCCTCATCCAATGCCTCCTGCTCGTCCTCCTGCTCATCTGCCACCTCCTCCTCCCCCAGTGTACACCGCTCGCCAAATCTGATTGCGCATAACATGTTGGGATCCTTCTCGGGGTACCCGGAGACCCTTCGGCGGGTACAGAAAAACAGTGCACTTGGGAGGGATGAGTGGGAAGAGTAGAAAATCAAATATGGCGCGAGCGCACGTAGCCTGTCCCTCCCTCCCCTTCCTTCTCCCTTCCTTCCCCCCCCCCCCGCCGCCCTCCTCGGCCCCCCTTCTTGTCCGTCCTCCCACAACGCCTGTCTTGCGCATCCCTCCATCTTCTCCAAACATCCAGCTGCTCGGGCTTTGTTCGAGACAAGGCCCCCCAGAGCTTTCGATCTCCCCGCAGCGGCAACCCCAGGCAGTTTTGCGGTTGATGGTGCCAGGACCCAAAACCGCCCTCCCGATGGCCAGAATGGCGAGCAACATAAATCTCTCTCTCTCTCTCCCTCTCTCTCTCTCTCTCTCTCTCTTCAAATCTCTTCCACAGAGCTCGTCTAGTCTCCCCCTAGCGCCAGGCAGTCGTCTGGTAAAAGCAACCTCCCTCCTCCCTCTTCCTCTCCTCACCTCATAAATCTGCCCCTCCCCCTTCCTGAAAGAAGCTTCGGGTCGTTGGCGTGATGTGTAATGTAATGTGTGTCGCGAGCCGCCGTTCGAATCGAATACTCTTGCCTGTGCGGAAGTGAGCGCCCGGAGGCGTTCTGCGTTTTGAAGCTGCCCGCATGCGCCACCTTGCGGTGCAGCCGAGGGGCTCCCGCCTGTGCAGTTGCAGCCCTTGCAGCCCTCCTCTTCCTCTCTCCTCCCGCCCTCTGCTTCCTATTTTGCTCCTCCTCCCCCCCTCATCCTCCTCCTTTTCGTCCTCCTCCACATCAAATTCCCTCTTCCTCATCCTCCTCTCTTCCTCTCCTCCGCTCCTCCCTTCCCTCCTCCTCCTCCTCCTCGTCCTCCTCCTCCTCCTCTCCCTCTTTCTCCTCTTCTCCCTCCTCCCCCTCCTCCTCCTCCTCCTCCTCCTCCTCCTCCTCCTCCTCCTCCTCCACCTCCCATCATTTTCTCCTTCCTGAGGGATGGGCAGGGCCCTTGGCCCACTCCCCCCTGGCGGCCGCAGGCACTGCAGGGTGCTGCATGGGCGCAACCCCGAGGAGTGCTCCGGACTTCTCGCACCGCCGCCGACGCCGTCGCCGACACCGCCGAAGTCGACGTCGCCGACGCCGCCGCCGATGCCGCCGCCGATGCCGCCGCCGACGCCGCCGCCGCCGCCGGCGACGACGACGACGACGACGACGACGACGTCGAGGAGGTCGCCAGCGCCAGCGCTGGCGCCGACGGCGCTGGCGGCGTTCCTCGGCCTCCGAGTCGTGGACGTTCTTCCTTGGTTTCGGGCCTCCGGTGGGCTCTCGTTCGGGCCCGCTGGAGGCCGTCCAGAGGCAATGCGGGAAGGATAGCTGGCCTGGGTGGGTTCACGGAGGGGCCCACGACTGGCAGCGATGGCCTCTGGTGAGGGGGCGGATGCAGGAGGGAGGGCGTGGGGAGGGTGGAGGTGGGTGGGACGGATGCGGCGGGTGGGAGAGGGGGATCGGGAGGACGACGACTGCGAGCTAGAGGAGGGATGAGGAGGGGGTTTTGGGCGAGGAGAGACGAGGAGAATCAGTGGGAGGAGTCGAATGGCGACGACGACAAGGAAAATGAGGGGTGAGGAAGGGGGAATGCGGGAGGAGAGAGGGGGGAGGAGAGGAGAATCAGCAGGAGGAGGTAAACGACGACGGCGAGAAGGGAGGGGTGGAAAGAGGGAGGGGGAATGCGGGAGGAAGAGGGAGGAGAAAAGGAGAATTAGCAACAGGAGGAGGACGACGACAACGGCAATGACGAGGAAGAGGTGGGATGAGGAAGGGGGAATCCGGGAGGAGACGGGGGGGGAGAGAAGAATCAGCAGGAGGAGGAGGAGGACGACGACGACGGCGAGGGCGAGGAGGAAAAGGTGGGATGAAGTATGGGAAGCACGAGAGGAGAGGGAAGGACGGGAGGATAATCGGGAGGAGGACGACGACGGTCCCTTCACTTCTTCACTTCCAGTGTTCAGGCTAGTAGTCACGCGCGGGGCTTGTGCAATCTGGGATCGTTCTGAGGACGACGACGACGACGAGGACGACGAGGAAGAGCATGGATGAGGAACGGTGGACGTGGGAGTAGGGAGAGGATGGACGAGTTGCGTAATCATGGGGACGGCAGCGAGGACGACGAGGAGGAAGAGAGAGAGAGAGAGAACAACAACAAAGACAAGCAAAAAGTGAGGGAAGGAGGAAAGGGGGTGGTGGGGGGAGAAGGGATGAACTAGGAGGAGGATCTGATTCTGGCCCAGCCTTGTGCGGTGCTGTTCGCCGTCGAGGTCGTCGCATCTGTCGCCACCGCCCCTGTCGCCGCCGCCTCAGTCTTCGTTGTTGTCGTCGTCGTCGTCATCGTCGTCTCGTCGCCTTCGCCGTCGCCGTCGCCATTCCGTACTGTTCGACGACTTCGTCGTCGTCGTCGTTCTCGTCATTCTCCCTGTCGTCGTCTTCGTCCTTGTCATGGTCGTCATTCTCGTCGCCGTCGTAGTCAGCGTCAGCGACGAAATCTTGCAACGCGAGACTGACCTGCGCACAGCGATCAGTTGCACCGATCACACACCGAGTATCGACCGACCTCATCATCCCCCCCCGTTCATCTGTCGCCTTCTCTTTCTCGTGGTCCTCCTGATCTTCCTCCCTCCCCAGGGCTTCTAAAACCCCTTGGGCCCCCTAACGCTTCTCTTAGCCAGCTAGGGGCATCCTCCTTCTTCGAATCCCAAAACGCTCAGATTGCCTTCCAGAATCCAAATGCAACAATTGATTTTCACCATTCAGTTTTCGAACGTAGGATGCGTTCGTGACACCCAACGAAATCAGCGAAATCCACGACAATCGACGACATCCACGAATACTAACGCAATCCACAACCATCCGCCCCCTGTCTCTTCGTCGTCCCTCCTGATGTTATTCCACTTGGCACGGGCGCAGCAAATAGTTTGAGTTACGCGAGGCGGACTGAACTGACTTGGTTCGGATCGAGAAGGAGCATCCAGCAACGACAATCCGTGGCATGTCTTTCTTAAGAGTGTGAGGACATGTTGTTGGCGCGCTTAGTCCAGGGGTGAGGGTACGTATGTTGCTGGCAGCTTTAAGTTATGAGTTGCGGGCACTGCTTGGGCAGCTTCCCGCCAGGGGCTGAGGATATACATTGATGTGCCCGACATGACCTCAAAAGATCCCTAAAGGACTGCGAGCGGGCTCCCTTGAGCTTCACGAAGCTCCGAGGGGGGGCCCAATTGGGGCTCCCACAAGAGCTCCAGCACAGCTCTAGTACCACATACGGGCCAAGACGGCCCAACATGCTTCGCCGAAGGAGCCTTGTCAGCGTGAAAGAGTCCAGCTTCGGACTCGTGCTCCGCACCTCGAGAAACCGTTATTTTTGAGATCGGGCAGGCGTTTCCAGCGAGTTCCTTTCGAGTGACTCGACACTTGTAGTAATAACACGGCCACCGCGTGGCCTGATGCAGAATTGGCCCCTTCGTACAGTGAGTGTGTCAAGGATGCCCCGAGGGCTCACAACTGTCCCACGGCCGCCCCGTCCCAGGGACAACTGACGAATCCTTACGTATGCACCGATCACACCGCATGGGGCAGTCCAGATGAAGTGCAGTGGAAGCATTCTCACCTCAAAGCAGGTGTGGCGGTCCTGGATCCGACGCCGCATGTGAAACATCGAGGCTATTGGACGGCACTCTCCTCTCATCATTCGGGGAGACGGGCTTACGGACCCTGGATGTGGCGGGACAGGAGGCCTTATCCAATTGCTTTTGCCAGAAGATTTCCCCCATTTGCGTGCAAGCAGAGTTTGCAGATCAAGTGCTCAACACTGTCCCTCTGCAGCCGCTTTGTATCACGGCACTTTCGCTGAGGCCTGGGATCTTGAGTGGCGTTTGTTTAGCTTATCGCACTGCACCCACGCATCCTGATTACATTTTCCATCCTACATTACCCCCAGAAACATGATGCGCACGGGCGTCTTTGCTTGCATCGCTTGGGTTGGCTCAGCGCTGTCAACGGACGCCAGCAGATGGGGGGCGCTCGATCAAGGGCGCCTCGGTCTGCTTGAGCGTGGGGATGAGACCGAAAACGACTTTGGAGACGGATCGGAGCTCGACGTGAATTCTGAGCTGGAGGACATGATCGAGATAATGGTGGAGGGTAGGCCGAAGTGGCGCAAGAACAACCGCACGCGTAGGTCGAAGGATAACTTGACTGCATCTCTGGACCAGATCATCCCTCTGCTGCAGACAGACTTCAAGAAAAAGACCGAGGCTCTAAAGAGGACGCTTCGGAGCTTCAAGGAGAAGCAGCAGGAGCTGGACTTCGCAAAGAAAGAGGCCACACTGGCCATGAAGGATTTGCGCAAGGAGGCTGAGAAGCGGCGCAAGGTCATCCTGGACAGGAAGAGGGCAAAAGAGGACGAGCGCTTGGCCAAAATCGAGGCCCATCGCGCAGCCAAGGAGGCGATGATCAAGAAGGCGCAGATGCTCATGGGTGCGAAGGCCAACTCAGAGATGTCGGGCATGCTGGGCGAGGTCACTCTGGGCATCATGGTCGAGGTGATGATGGCTCTCCCCAAGGCCACGGAGAACCCGCTCTTCATGAAGCGCATCAACAAGGCCAAAGTCGAGATCGCCAACACCGTCCAGGATTTCCTGAACATCACTCGGCGCAAGACGGCGAAGTTTGCCCTGGCGAGCGGCAGGGCGTCCGACGTCGAGCTGTCGTTCCTGATGACGCGCTACTTTCACGAGGCATCCTTCCGCGTCAAGTCCATGCATGCGGACGCGCAGAAGCTCGCCAGGGACCTCAACGTCGTCATGCCAAGGGAGCTGCGACAGGCCTTCATGCCCATCATCAAGCAGTTGCGCGAGCAGGCGGTCCCGCTGCGCGTGAATGCGAGCGCGCTGGCGGCCGCGTCCCAGGCCGACGCCTGCAACGAGATCTCTGGTCTCATGTCCAACATCACAGACTACAACACGAAGCTCGCGACCATGCACACCTCCCTGCACAACATTTGGCAGATGTCCGAGCTGATGCTGCCGCACATGAGCAAGATCTACCCCATGACGCCCGAGACGATCGACCTCGTCAAGGACTTCATGTCGCTCGCAACAACTCAGTGTGCTGGCCTGCAGGAGTCCGCAGACGAGATCGTAACCCAGGTGGGCCCGGTCATCAGTGAGCGCATGCAGTGCACATGGAGTGCGGCAAAGCCGCGCTTTGGCCTGGGCTTGGCCGCCGCCCTGGCGATGCTGGTCGCCCACTTCTTCGCCTGAGACTGCGGGTGACCCCTTCCGCTGCACCGCTGCTGATTCGCGGCTTCTTCTCCTCTCCTCCTCGCCCTTTTTTCATCCCTGCTTCTTCGAACCCTTCTCTTGCTCCTGTCCTCGTCCTTCTCTTCCCCAACCTTAGCATCTCTCCCCCTTCCCATACTTCCTCCTGCCCGCTGCGGTTTCTCTGTTGGGCTACAGTTGGTCGCCCGCGGAAAACATAATCCGCATCCACGCGACCGCGTATCCGCAGGATCGCTCCCCAGAGTCCAGGCCGCGAGGGCATGGCTATGGATAAGGTCGCCGCTCGCGAGTTGGGCCCCCGCGTGGGCCAAACGTGGGGCTGCAGACTGCGATGCGCGAACGGCCTGCGACGGGCCTGACGGACCAGGCCCCGAGGCCACAGTGCGGCGCCCTCTCCCGTGGGGCACGAAGCTGGTGAGGCTGTGTGCCGGGAAGGCGCGCTGTGCACTGCAGATTTCGTAATCTGGAGTACCCGACGCGGACCCTCTGGACGCACGCTGGCTCAACCCGCGTGCTTTCCCCCTGTTCGGCTCCGCCGATGGACACAGCCTCTGTCGGCCCTCGTCGCGCCGCCTGCGTCGTCTCGAGAGGGCCTCGGTGGACAGGCACACGCTGGCGCTGCCAAGCGTTGTGATCGGCGGCGAGCCTGGGGGGGAGGTGAGAACGGGCGGGCCTTCCAGAAGGCCCCCGGCGTTCTGTGAGGGTTTCTGGGCCTCCCCCGGAGACACGGACAACCCCTCAGAAGACCTTAGAAGCTCCGCCCGCCGCCTTCTGAGAAGGCGTTCTCCTTTTTACTTCCCCGTAGATCCGACGTTGCAAAAAAATAGAAATGGCAGAGAATCACGACTTGAGCCCTGGACCACATCTTTTCACGTCATTTTTCGAGCTGGATCGATCTGTCAGGGTCTCGGGGTCCGAAACCGGGTGGAAACGCCCGTTGTGAACAAAGTTGGCAACGCCAGGAATCTCAGGGTCACCCCTTCGCTCGCTGCCGAGAGGATCATCGAACCCGCTGGGGCCGCGGGGGCGAGACACCCCCCCGCTTCGGCTATCCTTGACCGCTTTCGCTGGCCGCGCCCCGCCCGCAGAGTGTCGACATGGCCTTTCAAGGCCCTTGCTGCAATCCATGTCATGCGTCCTTATTCTACGGATTGACTGTAGCCCGAACCCGCTGGGGCCGCGTGTGCCGCGGGGCCGCGTGTGCCGCGGGGGCGAGCCGAACCCACGTTCTGAGGATAATCGAACCCGCTGGGGGCGGGCCCCCGATGAGGTGGATGAGGGTGAAGATGATAATGAACATGAGTGGGAGAAGAGGGAAAAGGGTGATGATGGTGATGATGGTGGTGGTGATGATGGTGATAGTGATGGTGATGGGGATGATGACGATGATGATGATGCTGCTGATGATGAGGAGGAGGAGGAGGACAAGGATGCTGAGGAGGAAGGAGGAGGAGTATGAATAGGATGAGGGGGATGATGATGCTGACGATGATGATGATGATGATGATGATGATGATGATGATGATGATGGTGATGATGATGATGATGATGGTGGTGATGGTGATGGTGATGGTGATGGTGATGGTGATGGTGATGGTGATGGTGATGGTGATGATGCTGATGATGATGATGATGATGATGATGATGATGATGATGATGATGATGATGATGATAATGATAATGATGATGATGCTGGTGGTGGTGGTGGTGGTGGTGATGATGAGGAGGAGGAGGAGGGGAAGGAGGAGGTGGAGGAGTATGAATGGGATGAGGATGAGGATGAAGTCGAGGATGAGAACAGCCTCACGCCACGTGGTCTTTAATCTCAACCTTACCCCACCCCCTCGGCGGGCACGAGGAGCGCGCTAGGTGCGCTCGCCCGTAAGGGGGGGCTCCCCAGGAGGCCGCCCCCGGGCGCCCTCCTTGTGGGATTCGGGCACAGCAGAGAGCCACAGCCAGAACGGAGCGGACTTTTCTGGAAGGGCCCTCGGGTATGACGAGGCCAGGACGAGGATAAAACCGGGTGAGGATAAGTTGAGAATCTCTGAGATCCGGCGGCTCTGGAGGATGTCTTGGGCGCCGCGGCCTCCTCAGAGCGTTCCTGAACGCTTTGGGAGCGTTCCGGAACGCTCTGGAACGGACTTATCCTCGTCCTAGCCCCGCCCGATCGGGGGAGTACCCACCGACCTCGGCTGCGAGCGAGGGGAGAAGTGATAAGGAGAAGGCCTTCTCAGAAGGCGGCGGGGCTTCTCAGAAGCCCGCCGGCCTTTGAGAAGTTCTTTGTGTCTGCGGGGAGGGCTCAGAAAACTGCTCAGAAGGCCGGGGGATTCCCCAGCCTTCTGGGAATGCCCACCCCCTCTCACTTCCCCCCCACGTGCTCGCCGCCGATTTTCTGGAGGGGCCCGCGGGTGGAGAGCCCACCGACCTCGACATGCACGCCGCGGTTGTGGTCGGCTTGGCCGCCCTGGACGCCCACATCGACTAACGACCGTGGCTGCGGTGCTCTATAACGACCGCCGGCATGCCCGAGACACCTTCCGAGGGCGCGCCCTCGATGTGGCGGTGGTCGCCTGATGCCCCCGCAGCGCGTGGAGCCGCAGGCCGCCCATGGGCTCGCACCCGCCGCCCGCCCCATGCCTGCCCTCGGGCGCGGGCGGCGCCGCTGCTGGGGAAGCTTGGGAGGAGCGCACCCGCAGATGCTGAGCCCAGGAGTCCCATGCGGGATTCCACAGTCAAGCTGGTGCGGAGGTGGAAGGACCGTCTGCGGCATCCACGCACGGGCACGACCACTACAAGCTCGCAGCAACAATCGTGTCCGCTGCTCCCGGATTTGCCAGGCCTCCCGCGGCTGCCCTGGAAATACAACGCCACTCGAATCGCCGATCTGTTGGTGCTCGTCGCGAGGATCGAGGATCGAATATCGAGGGCCTTCGGCGTCTCATCGCGTTTGGCCTCAGGGGGGCCGTCTTCGGCCGCGGGAACGTCGGAAACAGACCCGGGATGGAACGCTGCCCCCAGGGAGGTCCCCTAAAGGCGATTCTCCGGCACGGCCTGCACACAAGTTGCGCCACGGTTCCAGGGGCGCGTGGAACAGGCATGGCTCAGGAGAACGATGACACTTCGCTCCCAGGCGCTCCCAGGGAGTCCAGGAGCGCTCTGGAACGACCGCGGCGCCCGATGCACACTCCAACCCCCCCATGTAGATCTCCCTGTAGAGATTCCCAACTCAAAGATTCCATGTAGATTTCCAGTAGTTCCCTGGAGAGGCCCGCCATGTTTCAGAGGTTTCTAACTTTCCCTCATCCCAGACCCCCTCGCGTTGTGAGAAAAAAACGCGACGGGTGGCGTTTCGGTATTTCCGGCCTCTGGGGGCCCTCACCGGGCCTCGTGGCCGTCAACAAAAAACGACTCGGGATCACAAGCTGGTCCCCGGGAAGGGGCCCTCTGGGGGTCGACGTTGTGAAGAAATCACGACGTCGGGGGTCTTGTATCCAAACTTATGCTCACCCTGCCTTCGACTCAGGGCCTCCTGAGGAGAACGGGTCCTGAGCTTGGGGTCTTTTGGGAGCTTCCCAGGGTCCTCTTGACCACTCTTGGGGGCCTCCTTGGGCCTCGTGGGAGCCTTTGGGTGCTTGTTCGGGGCCTGTTCAGTCGTCTTCGGGCGTTCCTGGCCCATCTGACGCCGTCGGAAGTCGTCTTGGATGCCTCTCTATACCCACTTGGGACCCTCTTGTGGCGCTTCAGGGCCGTCTCGGAAGCCATCTTGGGCGTCTTGGAGGCTTCTTGGGCCGTCTTGGGGCTTTCTTGGGGCCGTCTTGGGGCCGTCTTGGGGCCGTCTTGGCCCCCGCCCGGCTCTTGGAGCTGGCTGGGGTTCTGCACGTGGTGGCCCAGCGCGGGTTCTGGCGAGCAGGAAGCGGGGGAGAGGCTCGGGGCTCTGGGTTCGGCAGCTTTCTTAGTCCTTTTCTGCCTTCTCGGGCACTGGGACGTTCAAGAACTGATCCGGGGTGAAACATTTGATTAGATGGACCGCGGGAAAGGTGCGGGAAAGGTCTGGGAATTGATTCTGAGCGGATGTGCTTTTACCCTCACCCCCTTCCCGAAAGATGTTCTCGCAGCCTCCGATCCTGTTCTTTCCACCCGGTCCTCCTCCGTTCGCTCGGGAGCCAGCTGCGCAGCAGCCTCGCGGCAAGAGCCGGCGGTCGGCGCCGAGCGGCAGGCAGAAGACGGCGAGAGCCCGCGCGCGCGCCCTCTGAGGGTAGTCAGGGGCGCGGGGAGCGGCCTCCATGGGACACGCTCCGCCTTCTTGTCCTCCTGCCTCTCCGCCGAGGGTCGCCCCGCCCCCGTGGCACCCGGAGGGGGGGGGGTCTCCTCCCGTCACGGTTTGGCCTCCGCGCTGGGGCGCGGGGAGCCGTCACAGCAGAAGTTGTGGCCACGCCGGAGGGGGAGGAGGCGGAGGAGGGGGAGGAGGAAGAGGAGGAGGAGGAGGAGGAGGATGAGGAGGGGGAGGAGGGGAAGGAGGAGGAGGAGGAGGAGGAGGAGCAGGAGGAGGAGGAGGAGAAGGAGGAGGAGAGGTGGGGTCCACCTGTCTGTGACGGCTCTTGCCTCGTTCCGCCGCCGCCACCATCGTCGCAGCTGGGCCAGGGAGGGAGCGCCGGAGGCAGAGGAGTGGGTCGGGTCGGCCAGTGCCCTTCCTCGCTGGTCGGTGCTGCCCCCCCTCTTCACCGGAGGCTCCTCCTGGCCGCCGCGAGGTACATGATCGCCTGCTGGCTCGCCTCGCCCGAGGCCGCGCGGGCGGTCATCCGGCAGCACGACGGCCGGCCCTACAACACCATCGAGGCCGCCCGGGCCGCGGCCCCGCGTGCCGGGTCTTCCCGCGTGGGCCAGAGGTTCCAGAACTCGGCTCTGACGAAGTGGATACGGAAAGAATGGGGAAGAGGACCGGCATGAGGCCTGCCCATCTTTTAATACGCGTCGCCGCTGGTGTCGCCGCAGAGGGTGCCCATTTGAGTCCAGAAGTCGCCTGCCCAACAGCGGCCGCTGTCGCATGGTGACAGCATTCGCTGTCGGGCATAGTACCCGTTATTCCTCTGTACCGCACTCCAGCTTGCCAACGAGCGACCGGGTGAATACACAGCTATACTTCGGACGGATTTGTTGTACCAATCCCGGCGGTTTGTCCATTATCTCGGCGTCAGGGGGCCATCACAGAAAGCTATTGTACGAAAGCCTGGCCCCAGATAAGGGATCCAAACCTTGTGGGCCTGCACAAATTTGTCGGATGGCCGGATCTGGCAGGATCCTGAAGAGCCAGGGCTGCATTGACCTGGACTTGGGCGCAGGATCCTGCAGAATCCAGCAGGAGCCTGCAAGGCCTGACTGACCCGGGTTTGGATTGACCCCGGCAAGTATACTTCCCCGAACCGGGAGGAGCTGCAGCAGCAGTGTGTCAGGAAGGAGAAGCCTTGGAGGCCCAAGAGGCATTCTTCATCGGGCGTTGCGTAATGGGGGGGCGATACATGGGGGGGTGAGGAAAGGTGCGCTTGTCGTGCCGTAAGTGGGCCCTGACAGGGCCTTCTGGGGCCCAAAGGGGGCACGAAATGTGTACGTTTCTCCCTACAAACGCGTGAAGCAGGCCTCGATCCTCACCCACTTTCGAGTTTCCTCTCCTTCCTGTGCCCCCCGCTGGCACCAGCTTGCGTGCATAGCACCCTGATCGGGGGGCGAATACACCACCTCGTGCGGCCGGGACGGGCGCCTCTGGGGACGAGGTCATCTCTGAACCCCTCACTGGATCACTCCTCAGGGCTCTGGGCCCAGACCCCCCGCAGGTTCGCTCCTACCTCCTCCCCGACCTCGCTCCCAAGTGCCGAGGCGACGCGTGCTGTTGCGGCGGCGAGGTCTTGGCCTGTGGGGAGCTAGAGTGGCGGCCCGAGGATGCGAGCCGTCCGTGAAAACAGTGGAGGGAGGAAGGTCGATCCGATGCGATTCGCTTCGTTTCTTCTGCATCGGCCAAGGCCAGCCAGAGCCAGGCGCCGCGATCCGATCGAGAATCTCGATCCGATTCGGGACGATTCGCCGCTGGTCCGATCCGCTTTCCATACGATGAGGTTTCGCTGTTCGGTCCAGCTCTGGCCTGACGGTTGCTTGGCGTCCTTCTTTCGTCGCCGCATTCTTGGCCCGTCCCATCGGCCAGCGGTGCCACCTCCCTTGTGCTCTTCATCGCGCCCATCGCGCCGCCGTGCAGGCGGGCGTGTGCCAGCTGCACCCAGTGGTGGGCTGCCTCCGCAATAATTGGCTGGCCGACGAGCAGTCCGCCTGCTCCAGGAACCAGGGGGAGGATGGGTGGGCGGGGTCACTAGGTTAGGATGCAACTCCTGGGAGGTCAAGCTGAGAGCTACTTGGCCTCATCGCGACTCGGGGTGAGAGGCTGGTGGGATCGGAGGACTGATGAGGAGGGCGGAGGAGGAGGATTCTGGGGACACGGAAGACGAAGAATGGCGGAGGGCGGGTGAGGACGGGGAGGGGGAGGGCGAAGGAGAAAGGGAGGGAGGAGGAAGAGGAGGATGATGATGATGATGATGATGATGATGAGGAGGAGGAAGAGTGGGCAGGAGGAGGAATAGTGAGGAGGAGGAATAGGAGGAGGAGGAGGAGGAGGAGGAAGAGTGAGGAGGAAAGGAGAAAGGAGGAGGAGGAGGAGGAGGAGGGGGGGGACGACGATGACGACGACTGGAAGGGCAGCGGGGCCGACGGCGACGATTCTCTGACGCTACTTTTGAAGTAGATGGTGGAGCGCAGGTCAAACATCACGTCAGGCAGAAGGGGCGTCGGAGCACTCGTGCGGGGCGAGAGGGAGCTGGTGGGCCCCACGCTGGTTTCACCGCCTTCTCGGGCTGTCCACGAGGGCCCTGCGTCGCCCCGCTGGAGGAAAGGAGGAGGATGAGGAGGAGGAGGAGGAGGAGGAGGAGGAGGAGGAGGAGGAGGATCGGGAGCCTCGAGACGTGGGTCAATGCAAGCAGGGATCAGCTAGAGCGCCAGACTGTTGCAAGATCCTGCGTGGCCACGGTCGAATTGACCCGGGCTTGGGTGCAGAATCCTGCAGGATCCTGCAGCATCTTGCAGGATCCTGCACAGCCTGACTGACCCGGGTTTTGATTGACCCGGGTCAGTGGAACCCCGAGATGAGGACCAGCGAACACCCAAGACCCATCAACTCAGCCTTCCCTCCAAGTTCCTTCTTCATAGCGAGGGTTTATTTTCACAGAGGGGAGCGCCCCTTTGGAAGACAGCCATCTGAAAATCCTGAACCGTGCCAGAACACCATCCCTGGGACTCCAGCGCCGCGAATCAGCTTTTCTATTACTGTTGCGGCCTGGCGATCCTGGATCATGCCAGAACAGAATTCCTGGGACTTCAACATCGCGAATCAGCGCAGCTGTTGCGGCCTAACAGTCCTACGTCGCGCGAAAGTGCCCTCACTGGGACGTCAACCATAATAATCCTTGAAACTCTTGCAAATGTTTAACACGAATGTGCGCGGCGCTAAGGCGAAAACCACATTTCTCAAAGGTACCGCCCTCCACCCGTGAAGCACTTATGTATGTTTAAGACGAGTGCTCGCGGCGCTAAGGCGAGGGCCACATATTGAAAAGATACCGCCCTGCATCCGAGAAGCTCTTGCAACCTTTAAGACGGATGTGCGCGGAGCTCAGGCGAGAGTGACATGTTGAGACAGACCCGCCCTCCATCCGTGAAATTGTTGCAAGTTTTCATCTTTGCGAGGAAGTCTGGGGAGAAATATCCGGCCCGCCCTACCGACACGTCTCGCGGTGCGATATGGGAGCTATCCGTAAGGAAAAGGAGTGGAGGAGGAGGAGGAAGAGGAGGAAGAGGAGACGGAGGATCAGGAGGAGGAGGAGAAGGAGCAAAAGGAGTAAGAGGAAGAGGAGGAAGTTGGAGGGAGGAGGCGGGAGGGAGAAGTAATGAGGGAGGAGGAGGAGGCGCAGGAGGAGGATCAGCAGGAGAAGAGGGAGGAGGAGGATGAGGAGGAGGAGGAGGAGGAGGAGGAGGAGCACCAGGAGGAGGAGGAGGACGAGGAAAAGGACGACGGCGATGACAAAACATCGACGACGACGACGACTTCGGCAACGGCAAGGCCAACCACGACGGCCGCGGCTGCGAAGACAAGGGCAAAGGCTGCGGCATGCTGCGGCAGCGGCGACTGCGGCGACAACGAACACGGCCACGACGACGACGACGACGACGACGACGACGACGACGACGACGACGACGACGACTTCGACGACCCCCTCGGGGCAGGAATTGCGGCCCCTCGCCGGAGAAGCGCTCCTCGCCCGCCGGGAGCCCGGCCCCGGAGCCGCCCGCGCCAGCGGTGCTGCTAGCCTCGGGGGCGTGGAAGGTGGGCTATGAGGGCTGCAGAAGGCACCTCAAGTATTATGATGTTTCAACCGATTGTAGCCTTTATCACTAGAACGAATTTCGAACGCCAAGAAAGTACCGACACTGGAGGGTGTTCACGTGTCGAGCCCTGGGAGGCGATCATTACTTGTTCGACACTTCGCTAGCGTGCCGGGTAGAAGCTGTTTCGATATTTCTCTGGGTGCTCGAAATTAGTTCTGGGATGTGGTCCCTAAGTACGATGGGAACAACATGACTCAAGTATGGAATCGCCTTGCCAGCAGAGGGCCACGGAAACGCCTTCTTCCCCAATGGGCCCCGGGGGGCCCACAGGAGCTCCTGGGGCACCTCAGGGCCGTCAAAGAGATCGACGGAGCACGTGCCCCGAGGTTTCATTCGGCGAGATGTCTTATCGCAGGTGGCTGATGCAGGCGTGTGTGTGTGTGTGTGCGTGTGTGCGTGTGTGTATGTGTATGTGTGTGCGTGTGTCTGTGTCTGTGTCTGTGTGTGGATACCATGGGGTCGGGGCACTGAGATGTGCCAGCTATCATGTCCTCGTGTTATGATGTGGCTTGTGTTTCTTCCTCCTCCTTCCTCGTCCCCTTCTTCTTCTGCGGCTTCTTCTTCTTCTTCTTCTTTTCCTCCTTCCTCCTATGATTCTTCTTCTGCTTCTTTCAACATGTTCCCTGGCCCCCCACGCGTCGGAGCGCATACCTCGGGCCGGTGATTTGCTACCCCCGTTCTTCCATGCCCCCCCCCATTGGACGCCCCCGATCCCAGTCAGCGAGCCTGGGGGAGTCGGCGACGCTGAGATCCAACGTCGTTGTTTTCCAGTTGTTTTCCAGTTTTTTCCGTTTTTTCCTCCTCCTCCTCCGCCTGCATGCTGGGGTTGGGCTGAAGATATGGCGGAGTTTTTCCAGTTTTCGGCCTCCGCAGCCCGTTCTCGGCGCCCAGAGCCGTCCAGCAACGACTCGGGACGGAACGCCGAGGCCTGGGAATGGTCAGGACTTGCGGGTCCGGTTTGGGGCCTGGTCTTGATGGAGGCTTGAGGTTCGAGGTTTTCGGGAGGGAGGAGTTCTGGCCTCACGATGTTCTCCAAGAGCTGCTCCTAGCCGAGCGCGTCCTGGGGGCACGGGAATCGTCCCGAATTGTCGCTTGAGACTCGAGCTATGAGCCGAAGGGTCGGCGACCCAGATATCCGACGTATTAACACATACTGCGGAGATGTCTCGCCGTTTTCGGCCTCAATGGGGTCCTCGCCAGGCCTCGGGGTTGTCAAAACGACTCAGGACGAAAAGCCTGCGTTGGGGGAAGGCTCGGGACGTTCAGGGGACCCCACATTGGAAAAGCAAGACATGGGATCTCTGAGGATGCAACTAACATGATGATTCTTGGACGGAGGAGGGGGCGCCATGTGAAGGAGGGGTCTTTTATGAACTGGGTCCTGGTCCTGCTAGTCGGCGGCACGCTGGGGTGGGGCGGCAGAGGGGGCTGGACTTCTAAGAAGGCGGCGTTGCTTCTCAGAAGCCTTGCCTCCTTCCGAGAAGCCTTCTACATAGGCCTCCTCGGCAGCTGCAGGCGTCTTCTCGGAAGGCGGGAGGGCTTCAGAGGAGCCCCGCCGCCTTCTGAGAAGGCCGGCCCCCTCTGCCTCCTTCGGCGGGCGCGCCGCCGAGCAAGGGCTTTTCACAGTCGTTGGGTCACGTTGCGTCCTTCTCGTGAGCGAGAGTCAT